AAAAAAAGTAGTACACTTGACTCCATTTAACAATCAGGGAACTGAAACACTGAATCAGTTTTAGTTAAAAGCACCAGAAAGCCCCACTGAAGTGCCCGATCTGTGCTGTGGAGACAGGTCAAACTAACATGCTGCTTTTCCCAGTAAAGCGCAGGGGGCATTTTTTTCCACATCTGTCAGTGCCCTGTTATAAAATCTCCCTCACACATATCTGTGGTTGCCTAGCAAGTCTGTGGCAGAGCATCAAATTGATCTTTGGTTTCCCAATCTCTAGGCTACTTCCTAGCCATGCTCTTTCCTCTCTTATTCAGCTATGCACCAGACTGTGTTTGAGAAAACTAAGTGATCCCATATGAAGGGCCCAATCATGGTCCTGTTAAAGTCTTTGGAGTTTTGTTCCTAACTTCAGCATGAAACCCAGCATGGAAAAGTCCCTCAGCTTTTATTGTCCTGGCAGGAAAGAATCAGGTGTGAAAACCTGTTCCCTTTGGGGTTAATTTCAATATTTATACTACTTTAGTGAGGCTAGGATTCTGCCCTATATTTCACAGGCAAAAAGGCTGACTTTAACTCTTCTGCCATCAACACCAGTTTGAAAAAGGTATCTATTGATTTCAATAGAGGCACTCCTTATTTATACCAGTGCAAGTGAGAAGAAGGCAACCTTGTTTTTATTTTAAATTTACCGTATATAATTTGACTCAACTGTAGAAATTACTTTTTTCCAAAATTCTGAGTCAGGGCCTGGACACACAACACAACAATCAAAGTTACCATTATGCTCATATAAACAATGATTGAACCCACAGCATATAGCCTCAACTGATATAAGTTACTAGAATCTAACGAGTTTCCCTGACAAAAATCAGGGGTAAAATACCTTTTTAAGTTATAACTTTTAGTTGTTTTGCCTTTGCTTCTATCCCAGTGTAGATGTTTGCTCAGTGTGAACAGGCAAGGTGATATGATAGCTCCTACTGCAGCAGCTACTCTGGGAGAGCTTGGTTCTTCATCTGCTCCAGTCACTGGTGTAATTCACATCAGTGTTTTGTACGCTGTGGGCACATGTACACTTGCCCCTGACTGTGTGGCAACAGCCATTACTGTGTAGTCCTGGCAATGCATGTGTTTTTTCTGATCCTACTGTGAATAGTGTTGGCATCATGGTTTGTGCCCTCCAACACGATGTTGCTGTAGCGATGAACTACGTTGACATAGCTCGTTGCTACAGTGACATAGCGTCTGGTGTAGATGCACCCTTTAAGTTAGGTATGCTGTGTTATTGTATCATGTTTCCAAGCCCTTACACTCAAGACTAGTATCTAGTTTTGTATACAGGCTCAAGTTATATTTTATTTGCATTATAATAGCAGCAAGAAGACTCAGTCAAGCACAGGAGACACTTGTGGTTGGTGTTGTAGAAATGCATAGAAAACACAATCCAGGTTCTAGTCTAATTGAAATCAAGATACAACAAATAATTTAATGGGTAATAGAATGATAAGGATGATCGAAGTGAATGAAACACCAAGTTACACAGTTCAGCTATGTGTACAGTCAGATGGTTTTGGTCTAAGTTACAAGATACACATAAATAAAGCAGACAGTAGGAAGCCCAATCAGCCATCTCTCTTTTAGCATTTATTAGTTGCCAATTTTCCCAAGGCAAAATGGTAAAATGATTTGAAGTACAACTGGGTAGGAAACAATTTTTCAATCTCAATGCAAAATTTTTTGAAATTGCAAAAATTTTCCCACTCAGCATCAGGATGACTCAGAACCCTTTTAAAACAGGGAAAGACATCCTAGAAAAGTGTATTCACCTTGGATATAGGAGGCTAAGTTTCAAGCCACTGAACTGAATCAGGCAGAGCAAGGATTTGGAGTTGTGTGAACTACTTCCCAAATGAATGTCTGAACCATAGAGCTATTGGTTTTCCTTAACTGTGACCAAAAGTATAGTTGTAGACCTGATAAACCTTTCCTGAAGGAAATTTCATTTAAACTGGCAGGCGACTGTAAAACGTTTAGGTGAATAAATTCTTAGCTGTAAATTAAAGGTCAGTCTACAATTTAGCATGCATTAAAACTTGCCGTCCCCATACAGAGTTGCAGAAGAGCCTAAGCACAGGAGATCCAAAGTGTTTCCCATGGCTAGGAATCTGGTCATATTTCAGTAGACTTTCAGCCAGCATGTACCTTTTGAGCATACGCCAAAGTATAGGATGCCCCTGCCCATCTGGTTTCTTTCCCTTAGTTCCTTTCTGAATTGGAATAATGGAAGAGAAAGAATAAATGATTAATTACTGTGATGATCCACTGGCTACCACCTCTTGTAGAATGTGAAATAGTTTGACTTAATCACAGTTTGAGTGGAACTGTATTCCACTACGCAGTGGAAAGTTACTCTTTAAGAACAACAGTGGCACAAATATCCACTTTTGTTTAGGTGCCTAAATATGAAATTAGGTGTCTAAATTTTGGGACTTGGTGTAAAAAATTGGGTCTACCTTATTTAGCTAAGGTCATGTGATGAGTTAAGTGGCTGCTTCTTTCCACAAGGAGTATTCCCAAAGAATACTCCAAAGCCAAACCATCCAATGCTGACCCACGGGTTTGGAGTTTCTTGGATAGCAGAAAGGTGATGGTTTTTCAAAATTCAATTCAAAATTATTTGAAATCCAGCCGTACCTGGAATTTTCATGTTGACCATTGACAAATTCTTAAAAGTCAGAGCACAGAGAATCAAGGCTCAGATTCTGGTTTTTGCTCTCCTAGTTGTGTCTGGTTGTTGCAATGTGTTTTGTAGATAAGATCAACCTAGATTCAGAAAATACTTTCCCATTGTTAACACCAAGGGAAGTTCTATGAATGAATCAAGGTATGGGTGAGTGACTATTGAAAGGCCCCATCTAGAATGTCCTTGCAATTTGTAAAGGGGTGAGTTCTGATCATATTTTCATACTTAACATTTTTGTTTCTACTTTCATAGGGATAAGTCAGACAACCCTGAAGTTATAGTGCTGACATACACAAAACTATCGATTTCTGTGAGAGTTACACTTTTAAGGAGAACAGGATAAGGTATGTTATATAAAGCTAGATTTTTATACTGTAAGTATTGTGTAGAGAGAGACTATGGTTCAGAAGGTGTGTACTTTTATATGTAATTGTAGATCATGAATATAAATATTTAGAATTACAGTTAAGTTACATTATTGCTTTATAGTTTAAAAACATTCTTAAATTTTAGTTTGGTCAAATGGTTCTATTTTCAGCTGTTGCAGAGGCCTTTCTGTTTTATATTGATTTTTACATCCTATATTCCAGATATGCACTGATTTATGCAGGTGCAAAGAGATTATTGTAGTTAAATTGCACATCTCTGATTTCTATTATACATTTTCTGCTCTTTGTCCCGAATAGGAGAGCTTGTGACATACAAGTATCAGTGTGAAGAGATTCCTTTTGATACCTGCCCATTACCAACCGGCTTTTCTATTTTCAAATTCTTCTTTTTCTCTTATCCCAGGCCATATCTGTCTAACCATGAAGGTAGGTGTGATTAACACCCAGCACTCCTTTGTAAACATACCCACGGTGACAGTAGAAGACACAGACATGGACAAAGAACTAACAGAGAGCGGAGAAAGCAGGTAAACTAAACTTACTAAATTTTGCTTTTATTAATTTCTATGGGAATATCTGGAGACCGATATTCATCCTTGTGTTGTTTTCTTCGCTATTCTCCTCAGAACAAGCTCATTTTTAAAATTTTCATGAGGAGAAAGGTAGAACATGACAGGCCTTGTCAGATTATATGGATTATTTAAAAAAATGGATTCAACTGCTAAAAAGGTGCACACAAATCATATTACAAAGCGTTCCCATTCAGCAATATAACATAACTTGAGCTGTGTCAATACTGCAAAAACAACATTAGTGAGTAAATCCCACTTTCTTAGTATTTACAACCCTTTGATTTTGATTATGTTCAGAAGGTCATGATAGTTTATTTTTATTCACAAGAATGTTGATAGGAACCTATAAGATTAATTAAATTGTGAGTAAACATTTTTGCACGTTCACCCTAGAAATTCCATTTTGAAAAGCTCTTTTTTATCATTTGCAAAGGTGAACCTCACATCTACAAATGTTTGTAGATAATTTACATATAGAGAAGGGGACTCCAATGTATAAAGCTTAGTTCACAAAAATCATAGGTTAAAGTTGTTATCCCTGATCATAGTTCAAGTCCCATGAATGTGTGCACATGCCCCTCGTCATCACACCTCTTACCCTGGGTTATAGGTCTTTCTCACTTGGAAGTGACTCAAACCCTTCATCTTCCACTTACCAGGGAGTGCGCTAACCATCAGATTATAAAATGGGCAGGTGGAGGCATCTTCCTTTCACCTGCTGAAGTTGAGCCACTGGGAGTTCAAGTAACAGACAGAAAATTGAAATATTGAAACTCTCTGAAGCATTACCCTTTCACTGTAGTATCTATATCAAGTTGGTAGCAGTTTAAAATATTTGTTCGTATCAGCAGAAGAATAAACTCTAGTTGTTTTGCTTTTAATTAATATCTTTTATATTCCCAACTTTAATTGTCAGAAGTAGTTAGCTTAACATAGTAACATTACCAGAGTGAAACATTTCTCAGATATCATTCAAGCTGCCTTTGCACCCCTCTAACCCTTAGTTACATTACTGAGGGAAAGAAAAGAGGGGAGAAGATAAGGAGCTGTATTCTCCATTAATCTGGCTCTTGGGAGGAGGTTGGGAGATTTCTTTTATTCACAAGCCAATTGAAGGAGTTCATAATGCCTCTTCCCACATCTGAACCCCATAATGTTCTCTTCTAACATATGTGCAGGTAGTCTAATAAGCTTTGACTGTTCCTTTGAACACAGAAACTTTTCCCAGTGCTAGAAGAGCAAGGGAGCACTGGGCATGTCTACATGTACATTAATGCACTGTTGCTACTGTGCATTAAGTTTATGAGTTACTAAATGTGCAGTAGCCAGCACCTGAGCACAGTCTTTTCGGGACACTTACTGAGCAGTAGACTAATTCTACTGCACATTAGCACAGCTTTTTCCATGACACGCTAATGTGCAGTAGAATTAGTCTACTGCTCAATAAGTGTCTCATGTAGACAAGCCCACTGTAACTTTCCATAATCTAGCAGCTCCTCTTCAGCTGGATCTGGCTGTTTTTTATAAATTCAACTGATTTCACTCATCTAGAAGTATAAAGTTGATATTAAAAAGGACCTTTAAGCAAATAAAAAATTTGGATTCAATGTAATGTTTTTTTCACAAAGAATTTATGCTGAGTTAAAATATATAATTACTACTTCCAGCTATTTTTAGAATACCTCCCATTTTGGTTGCCTTAAAAGGCTGGAGAAAATTACTTCAGATGAAAGTTGCCTAAATCCAGATTTTTTTCCTGGAAAAAAAATCAAAGTTCACAGCTAAGATAGACCAATAATTATAATGATCAAAATCACTGTGATGATCTGTTAGAAGAAAACATGAGATGCCTGCCCTCTTTCTGTAGGGTACATATCAACTCTATGAATCTGTCCATCTGATCCTACTTATGTGTATTTTCATCTGTTTTCTTTTGTATCTCACTTTCTTTATGCACTTAATTTATATATTAACTTTATAGGCCACCCTTCCCAAAAAGGCTCAGGGCAACTTACAATAAAAGCGAAAAACAAATACAGAAACAGAATAAAGTACTAAAATAAGAACAAACAAAACACCTTTCCCTACCCGCTGGCCTATTCAGGTAAAGAAAACAAATTAAAAAACAATCCACCCAACCCCATCCCACCCACTCCTGCTTCCCTGCCTCTGACCAAATAGAGCACCTTGCTCCCCTTCCACTTAACCCAACCTCACTTCCCAGTCCAGTCTTCCATTAAAGAGAACAACAGTTCTCCCCGACCTATTATTCCCTCCATCCCTGCCTACCACCATTCATTCCCCTGCCTCACACACAGGGAAGTCCTCCTCACCCCCTTACTGACCCTTCTAAACTACATCCCCTTCTCTCTAAAGGGGCTGTGCTTGTCTCTAAACCCATTCATCATCACCTTCCATACAAGAACACATAGTTCAAAATAAAACAAAAATCACACCTCTTCACCCTGTCTTAGTCCCTGCCAAAGGGCAATGCTAAAGGGTACCCTTGAGCATCTCCTTTTGGTGGGGGCCAAAATAGGGTAGCTTGCAGTTTCTTTTATCTAATGTTAATAAACTCCCATTTTATTAGGTGTAATATTGACATATAAGGACCAGTCTTCAAACACAGACCCCTAAGTAAAACACCTTCCCCCACGTGAGCATTTAGTTAGTTTATAGTCATATATAAAATTGGCCAGCCTATATATCCAAATGAAGATACCTGCATTTAAAAATTGGATCCATGATATTCAGGCATATATTAGGGAAGACAGTGGAGACATTTACATGAGATGTTTACTGTACAGCTGACTAATTAGCTCCACAGGAAATGTCTCAGCATCTACATATTCACCCTATTAGGGCACAGGAAATTAATAAACTCTGCAGCAGGCTAGTACCTGTAAATACAAGTACTACTCTGATGAAAAGTTTTTTTGTGCATGTCAGTGCACGTGTAGACGCTGACTGGCTGGCTGGGGTGTGAGGGTGCTTCAGTGCTGGGTCTGTCTGCTGGCTAGCCCCATGTTGAGGCACCTTGTACCCAAACCAGTCCCTCCACAGCACATTGAGACTGTCTGGAGTAGCCCTGGGCTGGCAGGTTGATCCTCTGGGTCCTTTGCCAACCAAGGCTGCTCCAACTTGGCTCAATGTGCTGCAGTCCAGGTACATATGTAAACGGTGCACCCAGGAGCTTCCCAGGAGCAATAAACTCTGGAGCAATAAGCTGCAGAATTTATTGCTATGCATTAATGGCACATATAGACGTGCATAATATGGGTAAAATCCTGGCTTCATAGAATTCAACAGCAAAACTCTTGTTGACTTGAAGTGTTCTAGCTCATCCCTTTCTTTTCTTTTCAGAAATATTGGAATTCTGATAATGGAAAATATAGACATAATCAAAATAGCAAGTGGGTTTTTTCATGTCTCTTTACTGGACCTATCTCATATTATGGATATTAATAAACCTGCAAGGAACTTTAACCAAGCCATGCTTATGTAAATCTTATATTAGAAGACTGTTTTACAGGTCTCCTCTCACTCAGCATATACCATATAACAACTGTATTTTACTGTTTCCAAGGAAACCATATATGCATGGTGGCACTGCACTCTACAATGTTAACAACAACAGTAATAAAGATGAGTAAGTATTTTACAGTTTAAGTATAAGGAGAAATAAAGTTGTTACTAATATAAATAGTAATGATAAGGGTAGAATCCTTCCCTTGCAATTTTTTTTACCAAACAAGTATTCAATAACCAATTCTACATATGTATGACTTACATATAAAGATAATGTGCACAGTGTCTGATAATTTATAAGGCTAATGTAATGTGTATTATATTAAATTATAATAGTTCTGCTTGAAGACTATAAACAGTGATTTTGGTTTTATTCATTAGCCAAAATGTGTAAGCATAACATTAGCTTTACAAAAATCAACAGATTTTAACAAAAAAAGCCATTGGTAGTAAATACATGCCTCTCATGAGTCTGTCACATTTTTTTCTTCTTAGAGAAGAGAAAAAGAAAAAGAAAAAAGAAAAGAAGAGGTAAGACAATACAGTAATAATGATACTACATTGTAGGAGACTGAGTTCCTTCTCAAGTTGCTATTCAGTTTTTTTCTTTAACAACCATACATTTTAATTCATTTTCCAGCAAGTCTGAAGATAAAAAGAAAAAGGATCCAGATGCACAAAAAAGCAAGGGAAAAAAGGAAAAACACAAAACTAAAGAAAAGGATAAAGAAAAAAATAAAGATAAAGAAAAAGATAAAAATAAAGATAAAGACAAAGATAAGAAGAAAGAAGAGTAAGTTTTCCGATTAGCATTGCATTTTTCTAAAAAATTGCCTTAGATATAGAATTGAATCAATGGTTATGGGTGTACTGCAAGCCAACTGTGTATGGTATCCCTAATAAAGGAAGATTCATGTTATTGTTAGCACATCTTAATCCATGGAGCTGTTTCTATAATTCTGCAGATGGATACTCTTATTCCTGCTTGTTTCGTGAATTAGAGGCTGAGAAAGGAAGACAGAAGAGCAGCATGATGCCTCTGCTCCCTTTCTTGCCCAAAACATTGATTCTAAAAACAGCATATTTTAAACATGAAATGCCAGATATTGTGGCAATTAATCTGCCATTTCATAAGACTAAACAAGTATATGAAAGTATAAATAAAAATACAGAGCTTACCTCTGTCTTACAGAAAAGGATACAAAGCACTTTGCCTGATTTCAAAACTGATTTTCATATGTGTTTTATATGTTTTACCACTTTGTTGTGACAGCCTGTTAAGTTTCTGCATATAAAGGCATAATCAGTCCAAAACATTGAAATACTGGTAGCCATAAAACCATTACTTTCTGGAATAATGAAGCCTAGATGCTTTGGATCATTTATCAGACAGAATAATTAATTTAGTATTAAATAAGTTACTTAAAGAAGGTTAAAAGTATAGGTATCTCTCTATGTTGGGGTCTGGCAGTTTCCCTTAGCAATGTGGCCTAGCTTTTAGTCCCAGTCATGTTCTCCTACTGATTTCTTGTCCTTCCTAAATTTAAGTGAGGAAGCTAATCTTCTTTCTTTATAAGAACATTTTTGTGTTTCCTAAAACCTATAACCTACTTAATGTGCATATTTTTATTTATGTCTTAATACTCCCTTTCCTTTCTGCTTACTGTTCAGGGAGAAGAAAGACATTTTTATTGTTGACCCAGCAGGAAATATGTATTACAACTGGCTGTTCTGTATCACGATGCCTGTCATGTACAACTGGACCATGATCATTGCTAGGTGATATTTTAGTCTCTGTGCATATTTTTCTCTTTGCTGTCTGTTGCCCATATCTGTTTGCCTTAAGGAATACATTCTGTTTTTTGGGTAGAATGGATGCAAATAGTGTATTAGCCCAGTATTTTATTGTATATACTTTTTTTGCTGATATTGAAGTCTAATAGCTCTTCTGCTCAGAAACAAAGGCCACACACAACTTTGAGGGCTCTTTCTAGCATGCCTTTTGTCCAGTTCAATAATTACCTTTAAGAATATTAAGAATAACTTTATTTTTTGTCTGATACTTCCATATTCTTCAGTCTTAAGTTTTCTGTGACTAAAATGCACAGATATTAGAAAAAACTGGAAAGTTATAAACTGAAAAAGGTCTCCTTATAGAAAAGCTTAGACAAGCTTATCTATCAGCATAACAACCAGCACTTCCTATAATTACTGAAATTAATCTTACTCTGTTAAATTGTTTTTCTAAAAACCTATGCACTCCAAGTTCTAACTATTTTAAAGGCAGGTCTTTACATTTTTTTTCCTCAAAAACTTTAAACTACACTTTTTCATATTTGCTTTCATGTTAATAAAGTTTTGATAAACATATTTTGTTTTGAAAGTTTGATAAAATATAATAGATTACCTTTAATGAATATGTAAAATAAGTGGCAAACTCTAGGGCCTCTGATTATATAGAACATTCAATCTATCAATCACTGACTTTCATGGGACTACTGCAGTCTATTTCAAGTGTGTGTTTCTCCCCTTTTGCTATCTAGAGCCTGCTTTGATGAACTTCAGAATGACAATTTAACCATGTGGTTCCTTTTGGATTATTCTTCTGATATTATCTATCTTGCTGACATGTTTGTACGGACAAGAACAGGTAAATATACTCACTGGTATCTACTTACATTTATATATCTATATTAGGCACTTTAAAATGTCCAGCAGGGTACTAATTTTAGGCCAAGTACAAGAATTAAAGAAGGATTGTCTCCTGGAATATATATATATTATATTAATATATATGGAATCATATATTATACAGACATACATACATATATATATGTATGTGTGTGTGTGTGTGTGTGTGTATAAATATATATATAAAATATATATATTTTAAATTGCCAGTTAAATTGCCATTGTAGTTATATTATGATGAAAAAGTAGTGAAATACAGGAGTTTCTTGCTACAATTGTTCTGATTCCTTTATTCAGGTAAGAACTTCACGCTGAGATAAGCCTTAAGATTACATGCTTATCCTAAGTTCTAGCATAAAGGAGTTTCCAAAACAGGAGTAATTTGATTGAAAATGCAGCTTCTCTAGTTTTGGAATTGTACGCTACATATTTGACATTATATATGTTCTGTGGTATACTGCATTACATATTATATATTTGATAAATTAATCTGTAATATATTTGAAAACATCCTCATTTAAATATTTCATAAAGAAGGTCCCAATCCAAATAACTGGGAATTTGCCTGAAAAAGATGGCTATGATCCAACCACTTATGCTCAAGCATGGCTCCTACAGGAGTAAAATGGAATGTGAAAATCCTATATAAAGAACATCATTTTGCTTATGTCCAGGATATGTTGATTTTTAGTTTCCACTGACAAAGTACCATGAAACCCAAGTCACCGACACTGTCCTCAAACTATGCTATCTAGTCAAAGTAAAGCTACACTCCCGTAATAGAAACCCCAGTAGAGGAGGATTGACTTTTCCATCACTTTCTTTTGCGGTGAATCCGCTGATATGCAAGGGGCCACACTGGCAAACAGACATAAAATTGCACCTCCCACATTGCTAAATATCATTCTGAATTTCATCCAAACATGTGCAAGAAGCATGATCTATGAACTGTAAATCAGGACACACTATAGTAATACCTCAGTTAAGGAGAAGATGTGTTCCCTGACGTCACTTTGTTTTCAGAAACTTCATTACCAGAGGTAGAAATAACATAGGAGGCATAGGGGTGCATTCCAGGACTTCAGAGAAGGGGGAGGGGGGCACGACATTAGGAAAATATCATTAAACTAGCAAATTGCCTGTCAAACATGATGGGAGGGGGGCAGGTGGGGACAGAAGCCTGCATTGCCCGCCCCCTCCCCATCCAGGGCTGTTCCCTCCACTTCAGGTCGGGGTCCAGCTTCCCCCTGCTTCCCCCCACTGCTGCTTTGGGTCCAGGCCTGCTCCCCCACCCTGTCATTTTGGGTCCAGTTCACCGCCCATTCACCCCCTACCACTTCGGGTGCGGGCCTGTGCCATTCAGTGCCATGCTGCCAGCTCCCAAGAATGGGGGAGGGAGGGAAGCTTGCCCATGGTGGCGGTGGTAGCGGTGGTTGTGGTGGTGGCTGCAGTCACTGTGGCTGGGGCACTGCCACTAGTAATCCTCCCTTCCCTTCTCACTCCCCTCCCTCCCTTCCTCCCCTCTTCCCTGCTGTCTCCCCCTCCCTGCCAGGT